TGACACCGAAGGACAAGCGCTCTCTCGAGCGCGCCAAACAGGACAAGGACAAAGTCCCAGCAACCACAATAAGTAAGCGATAACCGTAATGGTTATCGTATTTCGCTCTATTTCTATTTCTTAGTGTTGTCACCTATTATCTTTTACTCAAACCGACCAATCCCCAGAAATATATTTACTTAATTTTATTCTGCCATGGCTTTTATCGTACATTGGAACTGTAGAGGCTTAATTCATAACTTAGGTGACATAAAGGACATCATTAACAAGTTCTCACCAGTAGCTTTTTGCCTCCAAGAGACAAATCTTGGTGCAAAACACAACCATTTCCTAAAGGGCTTCACAGTTGCCCAAAAGGAACGCGAACATTGCAATCGTCTTTCAGGAGGAGTAGCGGTAGTTGTGCAGGGCAGCACTCCTACGCGAGATGTCCAAATAAACACATCTTTCGAGGCCGTAGCCATCACCATTCTATCGTACAAAACCATCGCCATCTGCTTGCTGTATATTCCACCTCACACCCTTTTCACCACCAAAAACCTAGAAAATCTAGTGAAACAGTTGCCAAAACTATTTTAGTTGGGGATTTTAATGCTTATTCAACCCTTTGGGGTAGCGACAAAACTGATGCAAAAGGGCAAGCTGTGGAAGACTTCATTTTATCAAACGACATCTGCCTTCTTAACTCTGGGGCTTTTACCTACTTTTCACCAACTTCACGCACTTTTAGTTGCTTAGATCTTGCCCTGTGTTCACTGTGTCTTTTTAACGATCTTAAATGGGACGTCATCAACACGTCCTGCGGTAGTGATAATCAACCCGGCATCATAAAACTTATACCATCCTACCCAACTTTAATAAACAAGCCACGCCAGTGGAAACTGCAGCTCGCGAACTGGCCAGTTTTTACAGAAAACGCTAAGCTTGTTGAAGTTTTCTCATCAGAGCTTTCTGTTGAACTGAACGACGAGTTCGTCAAAGCTTTAATCTCAGCAGCAGAAAAGGCAATACCGAAATCATCCGGCATCGTACGCAAGAAACTCAGCCCTTGGTGGACAAACGAGTGCACTGATGCCAAAAAACAACAAAATAAGGCCTGGGGAACTCTACGAAGATACCCCACCTACACCACTCTCATCAACTTCAAACAGGCAATAGCCAGAGCTCGATTTATTCGAAGACAGACAGAAAAGGATTCATGGCAAAAATACATATCGTATATTAACAGTTCAGTCACATCTAAACACATCTGGGACCAGGTGAGGAAGCTTAAAGGAGACTACTCCTCCAACACAATACCACTGCTTACAAGTCCAGGCATACAATCAACACTAGAAGAGCAGGCCAACCTATTAGGAGAACACTTTTACAAGGTATCATGTTCAGTAAATTATGCCAATGCATTTTTGAAATATAAAGAAAATGCAGAAAGACAAAGACTGCCTACTACCAGTACCTCAAATGAATGTTATAACCTTCCGCTTATGCTGCACGAATTAAACAGGGTACTTTCCGCCAGTAAAAAAACGGCAACAGGGTCTGACCAGGTACACTACGCAATGCTTGCACACCTATCCCAAGCATCCGCGGAGGCACTTCTCTAATTCTTTAACAAAATATGAAACTCTGACATAATGCCTAAAGACTGGAAAAAAAGCCATAGTTATGCCGTTCCTGAAACCTGGTAAACTCCCAACATCCCCAAGTAGCTACAGGCCCATTGCATTAACAAGCTGCCTAGCAAAACCTTATGAAAGCATCATAAATATTGGACTTACCTTCACTCTGGAATCGGAGCACCTAATAGACGCACATCAGCGCGGATACAAAAAGGGCTGTTCCACCACTGATCATCTTGTTAGGCTGGAACAAGAAATACGACAAACATTTCTACACAAACAGTTCTGTCTCGCGGTCTTCTTTGACTTAAAGAAAGCATATGACACAACTTGGAGATATGAGATTCTCAGAGATCTAGCTAACTTAGGGATTCGGGGAAGTATGCTGAGCTGCTTATATGATTTCCTGTCGAATAGAATATTTGTCCAAGAAAATGGTCTACCACAGGGCTGCGTTTTGAACACAACCCTGTTTATAGTCAAAATGAACTCCATCAACAGGGCTATACCCCGTACAGTCATGCACTCCATTTACGTTGACGATCTCCAAATCGCCTGCCATGCCTCCAGCCTATCATCCTGCGAAAGGCAACTCCAAATTACAATAAATCAGCTTACGAACTGGGCTGACCAAAATAATTACCGCTTTTCAACCCAAAAAACCACCGCTGTTCTCTTTACGCAAAAAAGAGTATTGTTCTCTGAACCCGCGTTTAAACTGTACAACATCGGCATGCTGGTAAAACAAGAACACAAATTTCTAGGAATCACATTCGACCGAAAACTTAACTTTCTGGCACACATAAACACACTGAAAACTAAAGCGAACAGAGCACTCAACGTGCTCAAAGCACTCTCTCATAAACACTGGTGTTTCGATCGACTCTGCCTTATACGTATTTACCGATCTCTTGTACACAGCATCTTAGACTACATATGCGTAGTCTATGACTTAGCACAAAACTCATACATCCGGCGTCTTGACCCTATACACAACCTCGGTCTCCGTCTGTCCAGTGGTGCTTACAGAACATCACCTGTGCAAAGTCTATACGTAGAATGCAATGAGTCCCCTCTATGTGATCGAAGAGCGTTACTAACCTTGTCATATGTTTTAAGAATAAGGTCGTAACCTGAACACATCTGCTACGAAATTGCCGCTAAGTGTGACTCACACTTACAGTACCTCAACAAACTGAACCTAATCAAACCACTTGTCTTACATTTCGAGGAATACTGCCGCATTTATACCATCTCTGATGGATCACTAGATGTCGCTATTAAACCACCAAGACTGCCACCATGGTTTGACCTGTCGCAGCTATGCGAATTTTCACTAAGCCGTTTTAACAAAAAAAGCACCCCACCAGAACACATAATCCAAGAATTTGATACACTTCAGCACGAATATAGCGATTATGAAGAATTTTACATAGATGGCTCAAAAACAGAAAACCATGTGGGTATTGGAATCGCGACAACGAAAAGTGCAATTTCTGTGAAAGTACCTTGTAGTTTTTCCATTTTTTCAGCTGAAGCTTATCCCTTGAGTGAAGCAGTTCGGAAAATCGTCGCTGAAAAATACAAGAAAGCAATCATATACACCGACTCACTGAAAGCACTACATATAAAATCCGAATGTGAGCCAATAGTGAGGGACATTTTAAACATGGTATGCTTAAACAGCCAGGCAGCCTCCATACATTTCTGCTGGGTCCCAAGTCATGTTAGGATGCCCGGAAATGAAAAAGCTGATAAGTATGCTTCCCTGGCCGCCCACAAAACAGTAGCAAAAGTGAAAATTTCCCTTAAAGATATCCAGAGAACAATTCGCCTAGCTCTACAAGCAAAACCGCAACAACAATGGGACACCTGCGCGAACAATAAGCTCCACCTGGTGAAACCCATACTCTGGGAATGGAAGACCTGCCATCACCAACAACGGTTTATCGAATTTGTATTATGCCGACTTCGCATTGGACACTCACACTTGACACACAACTTTTTACTTGCAAAGGAAGAACAACCAACGTGTGAAAAAAGCCAAGAAGCGTTAACACTTATGCACATCCTAATTACATGTCCCACCATTGAAACACAGAGACAAAAACATTTCATCAAGCTATACAAACAACACGTACCTTTACACCCCGCTTTGTTCCTAAAAGATGACCCTATAGTACCTCTACCTGACGTGCTAAACTTTCTAAAAGAATGTAATCTGTTAATTAAGCTTTAAAATTTCATCTTTTCAGTGTCCATTCTTGAACGTCTTGTGTCTGGCGCAGCGTAGCCTTAGCTGCTTTTGTGCCATAAAAACCAAATTAACCTAACCTGACAATCACTCATTCGATATCTTTTTTTGTCATTAGCATCCAAGTTGCAGTCGGCAACACGAATCAAACCCTTTGCCAAAAAAAGTGAATGTACTTACAGAAGATGGCTAAATAATCTACAGGCGCATCTACCGCATGAGTGCTTTAATGTTTAATGCGTTATAACAAGTGCATCTACCGCATGAGCGCTTTAGCGCTCATGCGGTATAACATTGAATTTAACATGCACAAAAATAAAACTGTGCAACAACCCAAATTTCTGTTGTGGAATTGACCCACTTACTAATTGTTACTAAGTCATGAAATCGGGCTATTACATTAAGAAGTTCTTCGGGGCCATACTATGCCTTAGAATTGGCCACTAAGTATAACGTTTTTGCTACCATGTGTTGTAGCATTTATTGTACCTTTGCTGGTTGCTCTCAGCATTGTCTACTCTGTATGTTCATTGCCAACGAAATTCAAGTGCTGCCGTTGCATGGTGCATGTGTCCGTTTGCTCTGGCGTAAGAGCATGGAAGCCTCTGAAACTTTATACGGTGCACTTGTGACAAATGAATTAGACAAAAGCCTATTTATACATCATAATAAAGTAGCAGTGCCAGGCATTTCTTCTTTTGTCACTTCATTTCTTGAACTGTATATCATAGTGTAGTCAATAAATATGAATTGCCAAACACTGTTCATTAGCTAACATTGTGACTGTTTGTATCAGGGATTCTCACTTTTTAAAGTTATTGAGTTACTGTGACAACGCACTGCCATCTGCCACAAGATATCTTGAACACGCTTAAAGAAATATGCAATTGGAAAACTAATCACCTAATATATCTACAATGCAGTATCAAAAAATAATAAGGCTGGTAAAATGAGCTGAGAAGCTGAACCACTCTTTCTTGTTGTTTTTTTATTCAATGGATTACACTCCTTTCATGTACTATGTTTCTAAATAAACTTTTTGTCTGTTTATTTATTTATTTTTTGTCACTCAATGTTGTATTGATTGTGTGTGTGTGTGTTTTTTTTTTTTTTTTTTTTTTTTGCAGGTGGCAGATCTCAATCTGAAACACTTGAACCCACGATGATGCATTCCACGATTCAGGTGAGGGTTGGTGGAGTGGAGTGTTGTGTAATGAACATATTTTGTGGAAACGTGGATCTCGCTGGCATCTGTGTAGGTTTTCAACTACCGTATTTACTCGATTCTACCGCGCCCTCGATTGTAACGCGCACCCGATTTCCACGACAAAAAAAAAAAAGTAAGACGTCGATTGCAACGCGCACCCATTTTTCTCGCTGGCCCGCGCGATCACACCACTCGAAAAAACGACTCCTTTCGGGAGCGTCTTCCATTTAAATATGAGGTACGGGTGAAACTTGTGCCCATCTGACGTGTAACAGAGCATTGCCGTCACTGTAGTTTTACCGTGAACCGATGTCAGCACGCAAACTTGCTTCGCCCCCTTCTTCTCGACGGTTGTGGTGCCAGGCATGTCGAAGTAAAGAGGCGTCTGATCGGCATTCCCGATTTGCCCAAGCAGGTAGCCGTTGTTGTGCCGCAAGTTTAAGACGAACCTTTGAAAACTGTGAAGCATTTCATCGTACTCCTCCGCAAAACTTTTCGCATATGCCCATTCCCCTTCAGAGGGAAAAGCCTTTTCTCTTCATAAAGTTAGTTAGCCAGTACCTGCTCGCTTTAAACTGGCTCCGCATTAGACCTTTTTCTAAGGCTAATTGCGTAGCCTGCGCTTGGAGTTCTGTCGTCACGGGCTGCTGTGCCGCTTGCTGCTCAAGCACATACTCGCCGAGCAGCTCTTTAATTTGCGGAAACCGACCCTGCTGTGGTTCACTGAAGCCTTTGTGTGAAGCTTTGCTGTCGACAATCTTCTGCTTTTGTTTCCGCCAGTCCCGCACGCACGTTTCGGGAACTCCGAATGACCGTGATGCGGCCCGATTTCCGTCCGTTTCTGCACACGCGATGACTGTGCTTTTAAAAGCAGCATCGTGGTGCACTCGAGTTTTTGGAGTCGGCCCTTCCATGCCGTCGATGCTAATGCACTACAAGATGACAAACTCCTCAGCACACGTACGAAGTGCCGCACATGGGAAACACATAGGCAGAAATGGCCGACGCGCCATGCCGACGCACGTAGGGGGCGGCCATTTTGGAAATGCCGATGGCAATAGAATGACCATATTCATTTTTTTTCGTACTCAATTCTAACGCGCATGCGATTTATGAACTCGCTTAACCGGAAAAAAGGTGCGCGTTAGATTCGAGTAATTACGGTAACATTTTTTTTAACACACCTTTTTTTTGGGCCAGTTAAGTGTTGTACAGAATATTTGCATATGTTGTGCATTGATTTGTTGTTGTTTTTTTTCTTTAAGTAATGTTTTCTTTGTTTATTAAAGGTTTGAAAAATGGTAAATTTGATTGAATAAGGTGCACCAGAATAAGATGGCAAGATGGCAGTGAATGTGTGCTAAGTAATCATGGTGGCCACCTCCTTGTTCTGAGAGAGCTTTCATTCTTCGAAATGGGTGACATTGTGGCAGTCATTGAAGAAACCCCATTTCTAGACTGTCTTGGAAGTGTTTTGAACATTCTATAGAAGCAGTGGCTTGCTGAGAATGCGAGACTCTTTCTTGTCACTCATGCTCGTGTCTTAATGCACTACTACAAGCCTCATCTGCCACAGTGGCTGTCGTATTCCACTGCTGAACACAGGTTCATAGCAACAGGAACTCAATTCCTGGCGACAGCAGGAACAGTCTCTTTAAGTTCTCGTAGCTTTGGGCATTTAAAGTGTCTGAATAAATCAGGCACTGTCTTTCTCATACATTTTCAAATCTGCAATGAAGTAATAGTAGTACATATTTTTAGCACATTTATAGCATGGCTCCCTTTTGAACATATGCGTCTTTTGATGAACCGTGAAATTTGCCAACACGCATTGAAACTGTTGAGGACCATTATGTTCTTCTTTTGAGCTGACAGTCATTTACTTGTGTTTGCGAAGTGAGGTGTTGAACATTGTGCATTCTTTGTTTCATGCAGTCCCTGTGGTCGGGACCCGGTCCCTCACCGCTCGAGCGTCTGCTTGAACAGCAGAAGCAGTGGAGAGATGGCGCTGCACAGTGAAAGCATTCGGTCCTCTGCCCCCCCTTTCCATCTGTTGAGCAAAGCACTTGTTGGGAATGAGGCTCTTGTCACCGGATTGCCTATATGCTCAGTTGCCCAAGCAGTGTGGCAAGCAAGGCCACTGGCTGACAGCAGCAGCCGATGGAGCACTGGCCCTGCCAGCTGAAGGAAACTCTTTTGGCTTTTGGGAACTGAGCATCGAGGTGTGACTTGAGTTAACAGAGCGCCCAGGCCTAGCTGAAGTGGGCACGGTTTGATGTCTGCATGGTTCTCAATCAGTCCTGGGCATGAAGTGCTCGTGAAGGAGTGTTAATTCAAATGACGACCATCCTTTCTGGCCATCACGAGTAGTCAATGTGGCTAAGGTCCGGTTTGTCATGTTTTATTCGACTCCTTTCCCCCAAGGTTTGTGCACGTACAGCAGGGCCCATGGGTAATCTTCATGGGGGTCCTGTGCAAGACCACGTGTGTTTGCCTGCTACGAACGAGAATGAGAGAAAAAATTATTAGATTTTCTTATCTTTCTTGTTCGGCTTGGTACCTTTCAATGTAAGTCTCAGAAGCGCAGTCTTCAACACCATAGCTGTGCGTATCAAAGACAAAATGTACTTGGTTTATGCTGATAATTTTTTGCCTTCCTTAAATTTCAAGTGCACTTTGTTTTTGTTTTTTTACGTTATTTGTGTGGTTGACTGTTTGTGGCTGCAGAAACAGGGTAAGCAAGAAAGAGAGGCTTAGTTAAGTCTTGTGAAACTTAGCTCAGCTGTGCTCTGAGCGAGGCGTAGCTGTGGCTCACAAAAACTGTTGCTTAGTTCTGCAGACCAGTTCAACTATTGTAGCAGTACAAATCTTTAGTATCAGGTATTAGACATCTGACCTGAAACACTGGGCAAAAAATGGTAAAAGGTGTTATTCAGCCACGCCTTTTCTTTCATTCAAACCTGAAATGTTTCAAGTGTTGTTTTTTTTTTGCATTCGTTATACATACATTCTTGTGCGTGCATGTGTTTGAACACTTGTAATGCAGCTTAACTGAGATGCCAGAAAGAAAGACGCTGTCTTTGTTTTTGCCTTTGAGCACAGTAGTATGTATGGTTGAGTGCACAAGATTTAGGAAGCATCGTATATGCCAAACAGTAAATTATATTTGTGCCATATCTCCATGCACTGGCTGCTTTTAAAACTCAAGGGTTGCCCTCCAGTTTTTCTTTTATTTTTTTCCCATAGGATTGGGTCAAAGGGATTCTTGTCACACATGCACGTACAGATATACTGCAATTTCTTTTGTACAAGCAGCATTGCTGTTACCACAGCTTTGTATGCAATGTCCTTGTTTTCTGGTCAGCAGGCTTCTGTATTGTGTCTGTTATTTGTCTCAGTTGTTTATAAGGGCATTGCATTGCCTACATGAGTGTATGTGTTATTTCCAGTGTGCTACGAAAGCACACAGTGATTTGCCAGCTGTGCAAAAGGCTCTATGCTTCAGTCCCTAAGGTTTTATGGCAAATGGTACTTGGAGTTTTTTGTATACATAGGTCATTGCGGATCAGATCAAGAAAAGGGCAGCTGGTTGACATCTTTGTTTCTTTGTAAATTTTGTTAGTCACTACCTAAAAAGTTAATCAAACAGTTCATTGCTCATGTTAATTTGTAGATTATGTGGGCTTTTTTTCACACTTCCATACAGTTGAAAACTGTGGTCATCATACAGTTAACATATGTGGTCACCGGCATAAAGTGAGACATAAACAGGAAAGCACAAGCATTCTAACAGGGTTTCTGGTTTTCATGATGTTGAACGTTATCTTAATGTGCAAGCAAATAGTAATTAGTTATATGTATGTACTGTCTCTATTTCATTTTGTATGTTTAACGCAGAGCACAGGTAGCGCTTTTATAGAACAACAAACCATTCACCTGTAATGTGCCAACAACAGGCCGTTGTGAAAAAGTAAATTTTATCGAATTTCTATCCGCCTAGTTTTAAAAGAGGTATGTGCTTTTGGCCTGGTCTTGTATTTGTTTGGAACAAAGTATAACTTGGTGGCAGCAACCGGTAAAGTCAACTTTTAATATACTGTATAACTTTTTTTTTATATAAAGGTGTAATTAAATGGTTGCTTTCAGACTGATTAGGGCACATTTAAAAGTGGTGGTGTGTTTTGGTGGTTGAATTTATGCGCTCCAGTAACGTGGGGTAGGCTGTGTTAGAATATGAACCTCCAAGTCTGAGTGCTCCCAACAGCTTTGATTTCAAATTTAGAGCATTTGGATGACTTGGCTGAGGACTTAGGTGGCATGTGGCAGCTTTGAGTTGCTACTTCATTATTGCACAATTACGCAGCCGGGGCAGCATGAATAATTGCTAGAATCATCCTTTGCTTTATCTCTCCTCACAGTAAGGAGGAAGTGTCTGAAAATATTCAATGCTAATTATGAATATCTATCTGTTGTTTTACGCTGTTCGGTTTTAAACATCGCCCTTCAACTTTGTCTTTTACCTGATGGGTGATGCAACCACAATTAGCACATTTGCTGTGGCTAGCTTCCTTGAGGTTCCATTTTATGAGCAAGTGACCCATGAGTGGGCCACTTGGCATATCTTCCAGGGGCACTGGTGACCCACTGGTGGCCCACCCCACAGTTAACGGGTTAATCCTGCAGGCGATGATGGCATTAAAGCTAGAACTCTAGTAAAAACATCATTCTCCTGACACTATCGCAATTAATTTTTACAGTGAAGCTGTTTATGGCTAATTTCTGGCCGATCACATTCAAGACACTACGAAGCATAGAACAAAGTTTAACTGCAAGTACATATCAGTTTGTAACACTTCCTATGGAGGCTAGGTTAAATATTGTGATAATGGAATGAAATGCCTCTGCAATACATAATGCGAAAGACCCTGGTATCCTCTTGTACAAGTTTTGCCACGTCAATTAAGTCAAGGCACTGTGTTGACTCAGTCTTTACTAGGTAAGTATGAGGTGGCTGCGCATTGTGGAGATTTTTGGATATTCTCACAATCATCTCATTGAAGGACACTGAGGAGAGTGATTGAGAGTGCGCCCGCCTTCAGTATAGCCAATAATGATGATATACAAGTTTGCTCTAGCAATATTCACTATAGCAGACCCACCAGAGTCAAAGCTTTGCTGGCTTCCATCTCCATAGAAGTGGAAGGGCTCTGAATTTTCACAGTCATGCCATTGTAGTTGTTTGGACTGTAAAAAAACTTCTCCAGCATTTTTTTCATATTGCTTGCATGTAGTTGCACGACAGTGCAACAGCATGGAATTCATAAAGTGGAAGATCTAGGACAAAGTTTGCGTGTTGCATTGGTGGTCATTCAGGTAATTTGGGCATGTGGTTTCAAAGGAATTTGACCGTATTCACACGTCGAAGCTGGGGGGGTCCATTTTTCAGTTGTCACACAACATGTTAAACAGTTCTAAACTGAGCACGTCACGGTACTGCAGGTGCCTTCTTTTTTTTATCCTGAAACCTCGCATTTTGCACTCCTATTGCCAGCCACCCACGCTTCCCCCTTCTTTGAACCAGAATGACCAACCGAATACACCGTAACATGTCGCAAAAAAGAAAAACCTCTTTGGTCCATACTGAAACTTGGCCACTGCTGCATTGCACATAGATGCACCAGTGTGTTTGCTTGTGGTGTGCAGTTCTTTGAAGTTGAGAATTTGTCTGATTGAAAGTGAGGGCACACCGCCCAGTAGACATAGACACCTAAAAGTACGAGAATGGAATGTCAGCCAGCTGTCCTTTGCTTTATTCTTATCCAAAATAATCCTCGTGCTCCTCTCATGTGATCACTTAGTTGAGAGTGTGTTTGTTTAAAACTTGAAAACGTAAGCACTATAACTTTTTGTAGTCAACTAAATAAAAATCCATGTTATTGTTCCTGCAGGACCAAGTCAGTCTCTGTATCTTTTTTTTTTTCTGAAAAACTTGTTTGTTTTTCTTTTTTTTAATATTGTGGAGCAATGTTTCTGTTGAGCAGCATAACTCAAATGTTTTGGAAGTTATGATTCCTGCCTGATGTTGGGTTTCAAAGTACCCCTGCAACATCCAAAATAAACTTTTTCTTCACTATGGCTGAGAATTTCTTGCAGGCTTCAACAGGCTGCCTTGGAAGCCTCATCTTCTATGTTTGCCACTGCTGCAAGTGTGAAATGCTGTCTGTGCATTGTTCTCTTATTCGAGCAATATTTGTTTTGCATGCAAAGTAGTGTGAACAAAGGTTATGCTTTTGGTCCTTGGGAATGATTTTTAAATATTTGGTGCAACTAAAGCTGGAATAAGCATTTATCGGCTGTGTTTTTGCCATAATCCCCTTTGTAGACACTCATTTTTGCCCTATAAAAAATTAAAATTTTCTCAGAATGTTTTTTTCTTTGCAGTTGTGGAAGAACGTGAAATGGGATTTCGCAAGCTGCATTTGTTTTTCTTACCTACATTTTCGTTCATTAGTGAAGAAGTTAAAGGGACACTAAAAAATGTGCACAACATTACTAGTGGTGCAAAACTGGAACCAACAGCAGAGCTAGTGTTCAAACTAGCTTAGTTTTGCTAGTAATTCCAAGCTTTTGCTCGAGAAGCTAAGTTTATGCTATAGTACCAAGTATGACTACAATTGACTATTCTCCGGTTTCGGTCCGTTCATCACACTGCACACGTGTCTCGGTCAGACATGTCATGCAATTGGTCACGTGACTAGTTCTTATGTGGTGTTATGTAATTTTAGTCACATTACTTGGTGTTATGTGGTTTATTATGGTATCATATTGTCACAACATCAAAACAGAGGTCTTGCCGCAGAGATTGAGACACCAGAAGCAGGTCGATCTTTTAATTAAAACGCGCAAGCGAGTGCTTCTTTTTCGTCCATTTCGTAAACCTCCGTGGCACATGCACAACTGCCATCGTTTTTCTTAAGCAAGCACATGACATTTGCCTCCCTCCGAAAGAGGCGTCGTCCCGATGCACACCTTAGGTGCTCTACCAGGCATACGAAGTGGTCGTACCAAAATAGTAACCGGGAGCTAATTAACTCGATAAATACAGTTTCATATGCACGACGTGCACGACTTCGGGTAAATGCTTTTGGTGCTTAGAACTACAATCAGTGTCGGGAACGACTTCGTAGTTCACGTCATTCAAGTTTCACATGACGCTGTATGGGCCAAAGTACCGTCTTAGCAGTTTTTCAGACAGTCCACGTCGGCGTATCAAAACCCAGACCCATACTTTGTCGCCTGCGGTGTAGCTAATAAACTTGTGTGGGGTGTCGTAGCGTTGTGCATCTTGCTGCTGCTGATGATAGATGCGCACGCGTGCGAGCTGTCTGGCTTCTTCGGCGTGCTGAGTGAATTCTTCGGCGTCTACATGGATGTCGTCACACTCATGCGGCAACATGGCGTCCAATGTTGTCGTGACTTCGCGACCATAGATCAGACTGGACGGTGTCTTCCAGTGGTTCCTTGTCGAGCGGTGTTAAACGCAAAGGTCACGTACGGCAATATCTGATCCCAGTTTTTATGTTCCGTGTCAACGTACATGCTGATCATGTTTGTGAGCGTCCTATTGAGGCGCTCCGTCAGTCCATTTGTCTGCGGATGGTATGCGATTGTTCTCCGGTGAGCTGTACCACTGAGTCTAAAAACCGACTCTAAAAGCTCTGTGGTGAAGGCTCTGTCTGTGATCACTGCCGTCAGAGTGCCATGCTGAGGGACGATGTTTCCGATGAAGAACTGAGCAGCTTCTGCTGCTGTGCCACGCTGCATAGCTTTAGTCTCTGCATAACGGAAGAGGTAATCAGTGGCCACAATAATCCATCTGTTCCCTGTTGTGGAAGTTGGAAAGTGACCCAGGAAATCCATTCCAATCTGGGTGAACGGCTTTTCTCGTGCATCGACTGGATGTAAAAGACCGGCTGGCTTGCTGGGAGGCGCTTTGCGTCTTTGGCAGTCGGTGCAAGTTCACACGTGATAGTTAACAGCAGCAGGCAACTTTGGCCAATAGTACTTGCATTGTAGTCTGTACAATGTTCGGTTGTAGCCTAGATGACCATAAGTTGCTTCATCATGACACGCTTCCATAATTTCTCTTCGAAGAGAAGCAGGCACGACGAGCAAGTGCGGGTTACCGGTTAGTGAGGTTTTTCTAATAGAGAACATCGTTTCTCAAGCAAAAAGATGGCAGTCCTCTAGCAAATAACCGCGGCACATCTTTACATCGTCCTAAATATTCAATGAGTGGTAAGAGCTCAGGGTCACTGCGCTGCTCTCGTGCAATAGTGGCCGTGCTGACAACTCCCAAGAAAGCCGCGTCGATGTTTTCGTTATCGGAAGCGACAGTTTCCACTGGCGACCATGAGAGACAGTCGGCGTCGGTGTGCCTCTTCGCAGATTTATAGACGATGGTCATGTCGAACTCTTGAAGCCTTAGGCTCCAACGCGCCAAACGGCCAGATGGATCTTTAAGGTTGGTGAGCCAGCACAAAGAGTGATGGTCGCTAACAACCTTGAATGAGCGGCCGTACAAAATACGGACGAAATTTGATGACTGCCTACACCAGGGCGAGACATTCCTTCTTGGTAGTCGAGTATTTCTACTTCGCGCGAGAGAGAGTTCTGCTGGCATAGGCTATTACTCTTTCACAGCCATCTTGCCACTGCACCAGAACGGCACCCAGACCTACATTGCTGGCGTCAGTGTGAAGTACTGTAGGGGCATCCTGGTCGAAGTGCGCAAGGACTGGAGGTGTTTGCAGGCGTTGTCGTAGTTGATTAAATGCCATTTGCTCCTGTTCACCTCAAAAGAAGGGGACGTCCTCACGCGTGAGTCGTGTTAATGGCACCGTAGTAGACGAAAAGTACTCGATAAATCTCCGGTAATAAGCGCACAACCCTAAGAAGCGTCTCGCAGCCTTTTTGTCACGTGGTGCAGGGAATTGCGCTACGGCGTCTATTTTGGCCGGGTCGGGTCGAACACCTTCGTGACTGATGACGTGGCCTAAGAAGCCGAGTTCGTTGAAACCAAAATGGCATTTTTTTTGTTTTAAAGTAAGGCCGGCTGAGCGTATGGCTTGGAGGACGGTGGCTGAGATGTTCCTCGAACGATGCTGAGAATACAGTAACATCGTCCAGATAGACCAAGCACGTTTGCCTCTTCAGCCCTGATAGTACGGTGTCCATAAGCCGCTGTAAAGTGGCTGGCGCTGAGCACAACCCAAAAGTAAGCACCTTAAATTCGTAAAGGTCATCGGGCGTCACAAAGGCCTTTTTTTCACGATCTCTCTCGTCAACTTCTATCTGCCAGTAGCCGCTTCGGAGGTTCATTGAAGAGAAGTAGCGCGCATGACGAAGCCGATTGAGTGAATCGTCTATGCGAGGCAGTGGATAGACGTCTTTCTTCGTGACTTGGCTCAACTTGCGATAATCAATACAGAAGCGCAAGCTGGCGTCTTTTTTCTTGACTAAAACCACGGGAGACGCCCAAGGACTTTTCGAAGGTTGTATGACGTCATCCGCGAGCATCTTCCGTACTTGCTTCTGAATCTCCTCGCGTTCTTTCGGAGCCACATGGTAGGGGTTCTGCCGAATCGGTCGCGTGTTGTCTTCAGTAATGATGCGGTGCTTGGTCAATGGTGTTTGCTGGACCTTTGACGTACGCGTCTTCGAATCGGTGTACAAGTTAAAGCAGGTGCTTCCTATCAGAGGGTGGTAGCGTGGAACAGATGTCCACCGGCAAAGTTGTCGAGGCAGGGACAGTCGCGTCGTCTGGTTGCAAAGCAAAGCAATCCCCGGCTTGGTCTATATCGTCGTAATAGGCGATTGCGGTACCCTTCTGGATTTGACGGTGCTCGTTGCTGAAGTTCGTCAGGAGCACTTCTGCCTGTCCACCAGTAAGCGCCAGGACGCCACTCGCGATGGAAATGCCTTGCGTGAGCAAAAGAGCGACTATGTGCTCCGCTATTGCATCTTTATAGCAAGGACACCCACTGGACACCGACACACGGCAGCAGGATCTACGTGGGATCGTCACATCGTCGGCTATTCGCAAATGGCCGCGTAGTTCGTCGCTGCTGTTGTCGACATACGGATGTGCGCAAAACGTCACCATACGTTGAGGGATGTTGATAACAGCGCCATGATCTTGAAGAAAATCCATGCCCAAAATTAGCTCCTTGCAGCAGTCTGGCAATACGACGAAAGTGTCCACGAAGCTAGAATCACCAATGCGAATTCGAGTGGTGCACTTCGTGACCCGTGGGAGTCATCAGCTGACCACCAGCACTCCTTATGTGCGGCCCTGTCCTTGGTGTCTTGACCTTTCTAAGGTGGTCGGCGAGCTATTGTCGCATGATTGAGAAGTCAGCGCCAGTGTCGACCAGTGCTGTAACGTGATGTGCGTCAATGAGAACGCCAAGATCAGCACGTACAACTTCATTGGCATTAGTATTCGTCGTCGTATTCGTTGTCGTATTCGTCGTCGTATTCGTCGTCGTATTCGTCGTCGTATTCGTCGTCGTTGTCGTCGTATCTTCTTGCGATGGTAGGGGGAACTTTTCGGTGTCTCAAAGATTGGCAACCTTGCCCCCGGAGGTCGCAGCAGTTTCCCCGGCGAGGGCTAGGCGAACGGCCTCTGGTGACGTCCGCGTAGCTCTGGGGCAAGTCATAGTGGCGCGCAGGAGACGGAGATCGCCAGCGGCGCGGTGTAGTTGCTTGGCCAGTTGACAGTTGATCGGCATCGTGGACGCGATGGTCTTCAGAGTGGAAAGAAGCGGGACGAGAAAAGTTCCGGAACCGGGAATCGCCATGACGGCAATAGTGGGCAATGTGACCTGGTTCTCCGCAGCGGAAGCAAATAGGTCGACGGTCGGCCATGCGCCATAAGTCAGTTCGGCGAACTGTTGGTCGTCTCATGGAATCTTGTTGCCACCAAGGTACGGCAGCGGGTCGTGGCTGGAAGGGCGTTGCTACAAATGATGGTGGAGGACGACGGACTGACCGCATCAGCGTAGCTCGCTCGATGTGGCTCAGGACTTAGCGTGGGTGGTGTAACGGCTTACCTCAACTCCTGGCGGACGATTTCAGCAACAGATGCGACAGGTGGTTGGGTAGGAGGAACGCAGAGGGCCCGAAGTTCCCCACGCAGTATTTCCCTAGTCATTTGTCGCAGGGAACTTTCGCAGATGGCAGTGTTCTGAGCTGCAGCACTTCCTGCCGTGTGGTTCAGCAGGCGGTCAAAGTGTCGGCATCGTTGTCGCAGTGCGCGCTCGATGACAGTCGCCTCTCTTATGACTTCATCTACTGTTGTAGGTGGATTTAGTACGAGGCCTGCAAATACTGGTTCCTTAACGCCCTGCATTAGG